ATTTCAACAAATATTCACTGATCAAGTTAGCAACCACCTTTTTTAAATGAGATGTAAAAGTTATATAATTAAACATTTTGTTATTCACTGACATTTAATCATTATAGAACAACATTTAAAAAGTATTTCTATTTTAAACTAAAACTTTAAGGACTTTAAGAAGGACTAAGATGTGTGAAAAAAAATCAACAAATTTAGGGATTTTAGGAGTAATGCCTATTGAGGTTTGTAGGCTAGTGTAATATCTGCAGGGCTGGTGGAATAAAATCCAGGTAACTGTAAAGCTGATAAGGGAAGTGGCTTGCCAGTCTTTTCACAATTCCAAAATATGGTGACAGCCTGTATATAGATTTGTTTAAGTTTAATTTAAATATCACTTAACCATAGTATTGAAGATAGCAGATCATTCATAACATTATACATATCAATGATCGAAATCAAATGTATTATTATATTTACAGCCTTCTATAGATCAGATTTTTCACTTTTGTGTTGTGCAGGATACGTACAGTAGGAGATGGGAAAAGAGGTGTCATTCAGGCTATGTACTCTGAGCATCCTCACCCTGGGTTCTGCAGCCATTTTTGCTCAACAGATGCTGGGAATTTTGAGTAGGAGGTACCTGGTGTTAAGGCCCCGATATTCAAAACACAGCATTTTTTTTTGCGTTAAAAACAGGCTAACCTTGACGCTGATTTGGGTGACTTGTGTAATTCGTGGAGAAGCGAAGAGTTGTAGTTTTGGTATACAGGTATAAAATACTTTGACAGTAACAAAAACGTTTTTTTTAAATAACAAGAATAGAGTTTAAAAGGGGAGTGATTTGTAAAATATCCAAAAAGAAAAATCTGCTTACAGTTCTGTTTCATATGGGTGTTGGGAGACGTGTCCATAGATCTCTTCATTTTGCTCTCAAAGTGCACCAGATTGATGCTTTTAACTTCAACATTTAAAAACTAATTTGCACACATCTTGTGTCCATATCTTTCTGTTTTGGTGGTCATGCCACAACCGTGTATGCATGCATGCGCGAGTCATGGTCAAATATCTGGATTAAGAGGTTGCTTTTTCTTTGCAAAGCATGAAAGAAAGGCGAAATGAATGGGCTGTGATTTTAGAATTTTTAAGCAGAAATTGAGTTCTTGGAGGCCCTTGGAGAAAGTTGTATACATTGAAATGGCCCTTGAGAGAAAAAAGTTCCCCACCCCTGATCTAAATAGTAATAAAAACCCTTTATTTGTAACTTAACATCTCTGTCTCCTATTGATCTGAGTATATTATAAAGAATAGCCAATTAATTGAAGCATTATAGCGCAGGCCTTTGTCAGATGGTATATTACGCTGTTTTTTTTCTGTTTCGAATAGTTCTCTCTTTTTTCACCATACGTGTGTTTGCATCCCTGAATATAAGTAGGCCTATAATGTTAAACAGAACATGCTGTGATGTCGCTCTGTTCAGAGTGACACCAGTCTTTCCAAACAACTCCATCTCTGTTGGTCTCTGCACACTTACATTAACCTGCAGTGTCAGATTTTTTTTTAAAAACAGGGAGAGCAGATTCTCCAAACTGTTCCATTTAAAGGCTGCTGAGACATGAGGATGCCAGGCTAAAACTTGGCAATATTGATGCGTTATAAATTAGTAACGGGGCAATGTCGATAGAGCGTTAAATCCACATTGTGGATCGTCTTATCAGTTATCATTATCAAACATGATTGGATAAAAGTAGAGCTGATTGCCCAAACCTAACTTCTGTATATAATATATACACCCCAAACACAACATGTAAACATTACTTTGAGCAAAGCTACACGACTAGTAATACCTTTACACTACACCAATTCATTACACAATTTTGTATGTAAGGATTACACTACCACTATATAACACTAGTACAACAATATTATCAATAAATAAACCCATATCCAAACTGATTTCTGCACTACAGACATCATTAGGATAGGCAACAACAAAGTACTGTTGTTAAATAGTTAAATATTTGTCTTTTTTTCTGTTTCAGTCCTGACCCCAGAAGACGCCATAAGCCGCTACAAGCGTGTTCTTGAGGCGGTAAACAAGGGGAATAATAAAACGGCGGCTTACAGAGCGGTAGGAGTGGACCGCAAAACCATTGCCGACACTGCAGGAATTGCAGAACTGCATGCCGTGAACCCGGGCATCTACCAAGATATCCGGGGAACACTGAAGAAGGGGGAAACCCTTCTCCGTTTCTCGGAGATGTGTAAAGCTGCCATAAAGGACCAAAATTTAGAGGGGAAGGTCCAGGACTTGAAGACCAATGGAGGACTATTATCCATTAATCCAAAGGGGAAGTGAGGAAGGAATGGATGTTTTTTTGGTTTGCACTTGTTTTTAGTTTTTTTTTATAAAAAGTATTTTTTATTTCCATTTTTTTTTTTTTTTTTTTATGTTCATCGTTGTTGTTTGAATACAAATGTAAAACTTCAGTGGCTGTAGATCCGTCATTGTCATCATCAGTGTTTGTTTGTTTGTTAAACTGCTTAACTTCCTACTTAAAGGACAGAAACAACTTTGTTTCTATAGGTAAATACACATCTGAGTTGACAAATATGACATGTGGGGTTCCTCAAGGCTCCATCTTGGGGCCTCTTCTCTTTAACATCTACATGCTACCACTGGCTCAGATAATGAAGAACAACAAAATAAGTTACCATAGCTATGCAGATGACACACAAATTTACGTAACAATTTCACCAGGAGACTATGCTCCAATTCAAACACTGAGTAAGTGCATTGAACAAATCAATGACTGGATGTGTCAGAACTTTCTCCAATTAAACAAAGATAAAACTGAGGTAATGGTTTTTGGAGCCAAGGCAGAACGTATCAAAGTTAGCACTGAGCTTCAGTGTGCAATGTTCAAAACAACAGATAAAGCCAGAAATCTAGGTGTAGTCATGGACTCTGACCTGAGTTTCAACAGTCACATTAAAACTGTTACTAAATCAGCCTACTATCACCTAAAGAATATATCTAGGATTAAAAGACTAATGTCACAGCAGGATTTGGAAAAACTTGTCCATGCTTTTATCTTCAGTAGACTCGACTACTGCAATGGTGTCTTCACAGGTCTCACTAAAAAATCTATTAGGAAGCTGCAGCTAATTCAGAACGCTGCTGCTCGAGTCCTCACTAACACTAAGAAAGTGGATCACATCACTCCAGTTCTGAAGTCTTTACACTGGCTTCCTGTGTGTCAAAGAATAGATTTCAAAATACTGCTGCTGGTTTATAAAGCACTGAATGGTTTAGGCCCAAAATACATTTCTGACCTCCTGCTAAATTATGAACCATCCAGATCTCTCAGGTCTTCAGGGACTGGTCAGCTTTCTGTCCCCAGAGTCAGAACTAAACATGGTAAAGCAGCGTTCAGTTATTATGCTCCAAATATCTGGAACAAACTCCCAGAAACCTGCAGGTCCGCTGCAACTCTTACTACTTTTAAATCCAGGCTGAAGACTTTTCTTTTTGTCGCTGCTTTTAATTGAACTATTCATATCTTAGACTGCACTGTAACTTTTATCCATGTACTTTTTCTTTTAATGTTTAATTGCACTGTAACTTTTATCCATGTATTTTTTCTTTTAATGTTTATTTTATTAGCTTTTCTTTTTAATGACTGATTTTAAATGCCATTTTCTTAATCTCTTTCATTTTTTGTAAAGCACTTTGAATTGCCTTGTGTTGGAAAGTGCTATATAAATAAACTTGCCTTGCCTTGCCTTGCCTTGCCTTAACTAATGGTAAGATAATGGTGAGGTAATCATTAGTTAATGGGTAACTACTGTTTTGGTAACGGTAAGGTAATCATTAGGTAATGGGTAACTACTGTTTTTGATGCATTACTCTACTTGAGGGGACACACAATGCTTAACGAATGGTTAAGTAGGCATTAGGTAATGGGTAACTACTGTTTTTCATGCATTACTTTACTTGAGGGGACACACACTGCTTAACGAATGGTAAGGTAAGCATTACTTAATGGGTAACTACTGTTTTTGTTTGCGTTCCTTGAGTTTACCGTACCCAAACGGCCTAAGTAATGGTAAGGTAAATCGGATCCACCTCCACCAGTTGATCCAGGGTGGGACCCAAGCCAGCCGAAGATGGCAGGTTTAAAAGTGCCCTGCTGCACCGGACCATTGCTTCAATCAAAGTCTCCCAGGAACTCCTCATAAAGTAACCATTAACGAATGATTCATTAATACAGTACCCCAGTCTGTTTACCAGTAACTAACTAACCATCCATCGCAGTCACTGAGGAACTACTCATTAAGTAACCATTAACGAATGATTCATTAATACAGTACCCCCCAGTCTGTTTACCAGTAACTAACTAACCATCCATCGCAGTCACTGAGGAACTACTCATTAAGTAACCATTAACTAATTATTCGTTAATACAGTACCCCCCCAGTCTGTTTACCAGTAACTAACAATCAGTTCCTCAATCGCAGTCACTGAGGAACTACTCATTAACTAACCATTAACTATCTAGTAGTTCCTCAGTAACAAAGCACATTTTGTGTACCTTATTGTAAAGTGTTACCTATAAATAATTTGCTGTGGCCAATTGTTTTCATTGCATTTACAGACCCTTGTAACTCTCTGATACCACCCAAATAATGCACTGACTTGCTTGTAGAACCACAACACACTCTCACTCCCTAAGCGTCCAGGTGCGATGCTTGGTCAGGGTCCCGTCGCGTCCATTTGTGACGCGCCGAGGCTCCTTCAGCTTCATAAACGGACGCAAAGAGCTTTCAACTGATTGCAATGTATTCCCTTCGGCAGCGGTATTTGACGCTTAGGGAAGCACCGCATCCGTTTATGTTGGCAGCTCTTAAAGGCAATGTGAGCGTCAATTCCCATTGGATAACGGAGAATTGTACACCCGGAAGTAAGTATTCTCCTTACTGTCGATTGATTTGACAGTGATATCTCCACTACTCATCATCATTCGTTGTATTGGCTTTGATGCAATATATCTTTGTGCACAGACACAGTTAGGAAAACAATGAGACAGTGTCATATGGGAGCACCTTAGACAGACCATGGATAAATGCTGTGACCCTGCTGAAAGGGAGCCAGGGCAGGAGGCTTAACATGTTGATGTAAAATATTTGTGTTGTACTCCTGTTTTCACTTTAGAGCCCTTTTAGAACTTAAAGGGTTATCATTTCAGCGCCCCACTCTCCATTGCTGTTTATGTTGAAAATAAAACTAAACTTTTCATAACCACAACATTTTTACTGATTTAAATGCGGAAACTGGGGTTATTTATCAGCATTTCGTATGACTTGACTTGTGACTTGCTTGACCTGAGCAATGACTTGACTTGCTTGACCTGAGCAATGACTTGACTTGCTTGACTCTCACCACAGTGACTTGGGACTTGCTTGAGACTTGTAGGTGAAGACTTGAGACTTGCTCATGACTTGCACATGTAGGACTTACACCTCTGTGAAAGACAGATAGAGAGGAATAATAGCAAAATAAAGTTTGACATACTGACAGGTGGAGAATTTAAACTTGAAAGCCTTTTTCCCTTAAATACAATTATTAGATTGGTTGGACGTGGTTCCTCACCCACATGGATGGTAAAAGGTGGGTGTGTGCAGTCTCTCCATCCTATTAAAGGTCTGAACTTGTGACAAAGACAGATTCCTCAGTATGGATTGTCCCAGTGATAACCATTGAATAATGCTTTATTGTCCAATCCAAGCATTTCTGTGTAACGAAACAGGTGAAACAAGATGGTGGCTGACTAAGAGTTCATGAGTAAAAGGAAAAACCTTCAGAGTCCCAGGTTCTGAACCAGCGAGACGCTGTGGAAGCACAGGGCCAGGAAGCCGGTGCCCAGCAGGTCCCCCACGGCGGTCAGGTAGGGGATGGAGAAGTTGTCAGGGTCCAGGCTCCGTCTCCACATCACACGGACGATGAGGTCGGCTAAGTAAAGCAGGATGGCCACCTAGAGGGGGAAGAAAACTGAGCTGAATAGGCTGCATTAAGAGGAAAATACGACAACACTTGGAAACAATCAGGAAAAATTGAATTAGGGAAATAATCCTGAAAATTATTTATTTTTATCAATAACTCTGTTACCTTGAATTCCCGAGGAAATATTAGTTTTTCTTAGATTCCTCAACAGTGAACACATCCAAAAGGGTCACACATTCGTAGTATAATAATAAGTCTCAATCATCAATTCGTAGAACTGCTTTATAAAACATGCATTTTGGCTAAAACCTTATTATTTAAAATACCTTCACATAAGCAGTCACACAGGCAAGCTATTTGTCCTTCAGTTGATCAAGAATGTTCTTAGTTTAGTATTGAGGCATTTAAAAAAAAGAAGTTTCAAAAATTCAAGGTAACAAGGAGTGGATTATTGATATAAAAAAGTTAATTTTGCAGGTGTATCATTGATTTAAATCTACAATCGCCAGGGTTTTGACTAACTTTAACTGACCAAACCAACCTAAATGGTGCCAACAATTAAACTGTATTATAACCACATCTGTTTAATTATATCCAGTTCCATCAGAAAAATATAATTGGAACATGACGTTTCGACCAAGGTTAGTTCTGTTTATCTGGTTTGGCTTTGGGGGTAACTGGAATAGTGCACCTCAGCAGCTCATAAAATATACATAAATGTGTCTTTCTGTCTACCGATGCAAATGTTTTGTTTATTATTTAATCCACTTGTGAATGTCTGAAGCTTTAATGTGTCATAAAAACAGCAGCTGATAACAAGTGACTAAATCAACTTCTTAACATCGTCACGCCTACACTAGTCCGCCATTAGCTTAGTGGTGGTGATAGCGCATGCAACCATGAAGTAGTTTGTTTATAGCATTTAATTAGCTTTTACTTCTGCCGATTACATTTACGCTTCCAAAAAATCACAAAGTTGCGTCAATATGTTGGATTACCTTGCTGAACACAATGTGTTAAGTATCATGAAAGTGTGTTGGCCACAAAGCTCATTTTCTGCATCGTACCAAATTCCAATGGAAACATCCCATTGCGTATTGTGGCGGGAACCTTTGAGATGCTAACTTCGGGCATGGCCAACAAAAATACGTCATCACCGCACTACTTTCTTGGGGATGTAGAAGAAATCTGCAACAGTTTACCTGCAGAAGAGCAGCAAACAGGTAGCAGATGGCGAAGGCCACGCTGATAGGCGCCTCCTCTCCCTGCAGCAGAGAGATGGCATAGAGGAAGACCAGGTGACCGGGGACAACCAGCATCAGAAGCACCCGCGCTGACCTGGAGTTCACCCCTGGGAGACACAGAGAACGGTGAACTTTCTGTTAGTACTTTTGATCACTTATGAATGGATTGTCCTTGTGGTTAACTCAGTTAAAATGTTCAATTGGAATACATCCTAGAACTCTTATTTGAAAACGTATCAGGAGGTTCTATTTTGGGTCAAATACATTGACATCACTTCAACTCCTGCAATAAGCACCTTTGTTGTAAAAAATAGATATTTGTCTTTCTGGCTACACAGCAAATACCAAAGAGTAGACATGTTTACACTTTGGAGTAGAATGGACATAAAGTACACTTCTCAGAGTGCACCAGAACCTTTCTTTGGTGTTGTTTCTTTGTGTGGTGTTGGTGTTGACTTGTGTAGTGTTTATTCTGGGATGATGGACTCCCCCAGAGTATATCTTCGCATTGAGTCTGTCTGCATCGATCTTAGGTTGCGCTGCGCCGCGGCTCAAAGCGTCCCAGAAGCTCCTCGCCGCAAGGAATTTCTAAAATATAGGATGAATCCTATTTTTGACGCGGCGCAGCGCGGCGCAGGCAGGAAGTGGAATGTTCATCCAACAACTGCGAGGCTGCACACACGACGCTCCGCTTCCGCAACGTTTTGAAACGCGCCTGGTGGGTTATGACGCAGGAGGAGGTCGCAGCGCGGCGCAGCCGCAGCGCAGACGCTTCCGGTGGGATCAGGGGGTTATACATCCTTGGATCGAACACGGCAACATTTCTCCGCAGGACTGTAACGTTAGGTAAGTAGACACCAAGTGAATAATTCTGAATATTCATATTTGTCTTCTTGTTTTAATTTGAATAACTAAACAACTAAAAACGATAAAGTTAGCAAGTAGAATATTTGTGACGTTATTGTAGTGGTAACATTAGCCGTAGTCAATCAGATTAACGTTATTCTGACAACAAAATATGTATTTCTTTGCTATTTTAGCTGCTGCTCCTGTGTTAATTGTTAGGCTTCATTCACACTGACTCAGGGGGAAAACCGCTCCTCTTTTCAATCATTCAACAGCGGGTAATGTTACGGAACTGCCGCAGCGGCCTTGAATAAATGTTTTTTTAATCCATAATCAACTCTAGTCTGCAGGCACCGTTTGAAATAATGAGGCCGTTAACGTTAGCTACCGCCAATTTACGTTAGGCCTACTCATGTAGAATGAATGGTTTCGAAGCTCTTGCCTCTCGGCTGATATAATGCTGTTAACAGTTAAAGGTAGGGTATGTAAGTTTGAGAAACCGGCTCAAGATCGCTAGAATATTTGAAAATACACGACCGGAGAAAATCTGTCACTTCCTTATAGAGCCCCTCCTCCAACACACACAAATGCGCACATGACCAATGAGGGCACGAGATAAGTTTGTGCACAGATGGAAGGCTGACAGGCAGGTAGGCCATCCAGTTATTTTAGCCGGGCCGGCTAAAAATGATTGGTCGTACTTTTTACAGTATTACGGCTTCCACAGATGACATTTTTGTATGGATTTTTTGTCAAAGTACTTAAGATATTCATTGCTATCGGGATGTTAAGAGCATTCCATGGAATATAACAAAAAGTGTATCTCGAGCCGGTTTCTCAAACTTACATACCCTACCTTTAAGTAAAAGTACAAATACCACCCTGTGAATATACTAAAAGTAAAAAGGCCTGCACTTAAAACCTGACTTAAGTAAAAGTATGCGAGTATAATCAGCTAAATGTACTTTAAGTATCAGTAAAAGCACTCATTGTGCAGTGAAATTGTCCCTGTCAGTGTTTTACTATTTTGGGATGCTTTTAGGTTTTATATTACTGCTGCATTAATGTGTATGTTGCATTTGACTTCTGTTCATGGTAATGGCCGAGCTTATCTGATTTGCTATCAAAGGTTTTTGTCAGTGCCTGAGCCATCCATCAAAATATGATGTACAGTGTAGTTATATTTGTGTTTATTGTTATCTTACAGTCATCTCCAGCCTTCAGGAGTACTCTGGTCCAGTGGAGGCAACCCTACATCCTAGCAGTTGGGACCACAAGAAACCGCTCCATGAGTACTACATTGCGTTGGATGGTGAGCTCCTTCCCTGCAAGGCCAAGTCTTCCCTGTCAGTTTTGATGAACTTTTTAAAGCACATTATATGTTTGGGATCTCCTATGACCAGGCCTTAAACGGCATGTACACATGTTTGCAGATCACCATCTACAACATTGATGTAAACTGGTTGCCATGTAGGCAAGGCAAGGCAAGGCAAGTTTATTTATATAGCACCTTTCAACACAAGGCAATTCAAGGTGCTTTACAAAAATGAAAGACATTCAGACACTTTTAGATGTTGGTCATCCTGCTCGGTGATTGTTAGTCTTTCAAAACACTATTTTTGTCAGTTTACTTTGCACAATAGCACTAGTGTATGGTATTCCACGTTGTCCATTTGTTGTAACAGGATTTTGGAATGATGATCTCTAAAGTGTTTCCTCAGGCTAAAGAGGGCTAATGAGCAAATGTACACACATTTACACCTATGACCAATGTATTTTGTGGGTTGTTTGATGTTGCTACTGATTAGATGTTATATTTAAAACACATCAAAATCACATTTTTTTAAATAAACGCATGTTTTCAAGAATCTGATGTGTACTTTATTTCCTGAAGTGTTAATGATTCATCCCAAAATTGTTTGTTTGGTGTACATCAGCTAAACAGCACTGAAACAGTGTGAAAAATGACCATGGAGTACATTTTCTCTCTCAAAGTGTTGAATAATCAGCTCTGCACAGTGACACAATAAGACTGACTAAGAGTACATTTTAACTCTCTGAGGGTTCTAGGTTTACACTGCACGTGTTGGAAAGCATTGAAACAGTTGAAAAAAGTACCAGTTATAGTGTATATTTTGACACAAAGTGTTCAAATCTAACTCTTTATTTAGAGTTTATATTTTACTCTTTTGACAGTGTTCAGAGAACACCAAACTCTTGGACCTATACACCCGAAACTGGTGTTAAATGTACTCTTATATAGAGTACAATATACGCTGTGGTTTTTGCTGTGTAGCTGACAAATTCAAGTCTATAGAACGTAACAAAATCTTACTGCTTTTAACACCTTACATTTAGGAATTCTAGGAAGTTGCTGTTATTTTTAGGCACTCTGGTTGAGCACGTCGGTTGAATCGCAAAATATGTAATGTAATAAAATCCTGGGTGCAACGTCAACATGAACTTTGATACATCTGACATGGTCGACCTCGGTCCAAATCCTTCACCAAAAACAATAACAACCCCTCCCTCATCATTGACAATTCCACTCTGTCTCCCTCCTGTCACATCCTCAGTCATTTTCGACAGCAACCTCTCCTTTGGAAACAATATCAAGCACAACACCAAAACTGCCTTCTTCCACCTTAGAAATCTATCCCATCTCCGCCCATCACTCTCCTTCTCTACTGCTGAAACCCTCATCCATGCCTTCATCACCTGGATAAATAAAGGTTTGAAATGAAATGAAATCTCATCCAGACTAGACTAACAGCGTCCTCTATGGCAGTGGTTCCCAACCTTTTTTCCCAAGAGCCCCCCCAAATGACTCCTGTTGGAAGTTGTGCCCCCCCCCCCACACACACAGCAACAGCGGTAATTAAAGTTTAAAAGTCTCAGAAAAGCTACAACTACTGTCACAAACTGGATGAATGTGAAGTATTTTGTTAAAGGAGGATGAAAGCGTAATTAAGGAGCACTATTGGAGTGACTTTGATGGTTATTGGACTCAGGATTAATTTATTTGGATTCCCGCTGTATGAAGAAATTAAAGGATGGCGCGGAAGTGGAAACAATTCACAAAGGGAATAAACTGTTTAAAACACATGCTCAAAGTAAGCCGGATTTTGCCGATGTGTTTATGTGGATTCAAAAGTCGTAAATAATCTACAAAATGGAGGAGACCGATCTGATTGGAGCAACTGTGACAAATAATTGAAACCGGCATGGACAATGACTATGTTTTAAAAATGCGTTTATCCAGACAAACCTGGTTTGGACACTTTATGGGCAGAAGAAACATTTATATTAAAGAAAAAACTATACATTTCTGTCTTTTTATGCCTTTAATACTAACTTGAATTTTTATTACAATTAATTAGTCAATTATTTTTTATATCTATTGTAATGTAGAGACAAGGCTTTTAGTGACAATCATGTATTGCTTTACAATTATATGTAAAAAAAAAAAAAAAGTCAAAAAAAAAAAAAGTCTAAATATGATATTTGGCCTCAAATCATCTGAGGCCTGGAGCCCCCACTGCGATCTTTGGCGCCCCCCCCAGGGGTGCGCGCCCCCCAGGTTGGGAACCACTGCTCTATGGTACACCATCCAAACTCCTCAATAAACTCCAGAACTCTGCCGCCCGACTCCTCACCCACACCCTCTCCCATGACCACATCACCCCTGTCCTGCAGAACCTCCACTGCTTCCCCGTCCTACAACACATCCATTTCAAGATCTTTCTCCTTACCTACAAAGCCCTCCATCACCAGGCTCCCTCCTACCTCACAGACATACGATACGATACAATATACTCTATTGTCCCCGTAAGGACATTTGTTCTGGACTCCAACACCACACCACACTCCTTTCCGCAGCCGCCATCCTCCTGTCTTTTCCTCATAGGACCAAGCACCGAACCTGGGGGGGACAGAGCTTTCTCCATCGCTGCCCCCCCTCCCTCTGGAACTCACTCCCCAAACACATCCGGGACTGCCTCAATCTCAAATGTTCAAATCACAAACCAAAACTCACCTTTTCAGAACTGATTTTAACTGTAATTAATGTTGTGTTTAATTAAGTGTTTTAACTATATTTTTATGATTTATTTTTTGTTATTCAAATGTTTTATTAGGAATACAGGTCATTATACAGTGTGACGAAGATAACTTTGTCACTGTGGACTGACGGCTTCAGGCCTTGTATATTGCATATGTGTTTTATTTTGAAAAGTGTTCCTCCTCCCGTTTTTTCTGTTGC